TATTGCCTTGCAGGAAGGAAATCTTACTGGGTTGCCACTTCTGATAGACAACTATGTCCCACCACTGGAAGGACTGCCTATGTTTATCCTGCGCTTGGCCACAGAGGTACATTCCCTCAAGGATTTTATTAATGCACAATTACTTCTTTTACTTCAGGCAACTCCAGCCTGCCTTTTCAGTTTCTGGTGCAGCTTAAATGTATTGTTACATGTTCCAGATGCTGTTCTGTGGTTACTGATTAGTTATGCTTTGCTTTTGTATTCATAACTACTGACTGACTGAGCCTCTATTTTGATTTAAAAGCCTGCATTCCTAGCCTCTTTTTTCATTCTATACCTTTACCTTACTAGGAGATAAATGGCTAACACATTAATATAAACTTTCCATATTAAGAATCTCTATATAATTTTCCATATTAAGTCTCTGACTGCTACCCAGATTCTATAAAATTACTTTTTTTTTAAATTGTAACAGGTAAACTGGGATGAAGAAAAGGAGTGTTTTGAAAGCCTGAGTAAAGAACTAGCCATGTTCTACTCCATCAGAAAGCAGTATATAATAGAGGAAACCAACCCAACAAACTCTCAGGTACTAGAATACTGTAACTAGTTCTGTGAGCAGATAACTAACAACATCCAGGAAACTTCTGTTCTTTCAGATGTAGACTTCTAATACCAGCTCTTTCAGGGAACTGAATCAAGTAGCAGTGTGGCAAGATTCTGAAACAATGTGGCTTAAATTTTCTGAAGTATTATAGATCTTGAGGGAACCTTTTAGCTTTGGGCATTGCAGTGTACTTAATATTATTACAAGCCTCCTTGGCCTCTGAGTTGAGAATGTATTTTTTATGCTGTATTTCTATAGAAGAATAAGGATGCATATAAATTACAAATACAACCTGGTTGTGTCTAAGTATTTGCCTAATGGATTAGTTAAGCTCACGCATTCTGCAAGTGACTTTACAGAGCTTAGAAATGACTGTATAGAATGAACTTTTCTAATACCAGCAGAATTTTACAATTGCTGTAGTCTTACATAGTAAAGTTTTTAAGGCAGGCCCTCCTCTAGTTAAACAGAACATCATTTTGTTTGTCCTTGTTTTCCTGTATTTCAGAGTGAAGAATCAGAGTCTGGTTCAACAACATGGAAATGGACTGTGGAACATGTGCTTTACAAAGCTTTTAGGACTCATCTTTTACCTCCTAAACACTTTGCAGAAGATGGCAACATTTTGCAGCTTGCTAACCTGCCTGACCTGTATAAAGTTTTTGAAAGATGTTGAGCAAGCAGTTATTAAAGACTGTTTTTATAGATTGACACCATTCAGTTTTACTTGGTAGAAGCTAAAGCTGGAATCTTGATAGGGAAAGAAAGAGGGGATTTAGTACCCTACTAAACTGCTAACATGTCAGTAAATCATCTATTTTCCTTCTGTTGATCAAAGTATAAAAAAAATAATTTTGCTGTGTCTAACCCCAGTGAAAATCCCTAAAATAAAATCTCCACTTAAACTCTGAGTTTCCCTATTAACCAGTCTGCTAACAAAATAGACTTCTGCTGAAGAAATTGGTTGTGGAAGAAGAGGGAGCTTAATTTAGTTGAAATGTGAATTGTTTAACTTTGCTTGCCTCTGGAAATCAAACTAGGTTACGTGCATTCCTTTGTTTGAAGCATGAGGGTTGTCTGACAGTATCTGCAATAGGAGTGTACATGCAAAGCACTTAAAATCATCTGTTACTGCACAAGTTAGCCTTGCAATATTTCAGGGCCCTTGCAGAAATAAGGGAAATCCCTTCCCTTTTAATCAAAAAGTCAGAAAATAGAAATGGTAATGTCCTGGCAGATAGTAAATGAGCATGCACACATACTATTCATTGTCTGCAATTTAATGAATAGGGCTTGGGAGATCTACTTCCTTTGCATAAAAAATGCAAGAAATCTTGCAAAGTATATATTGAAGTTAAGATTGCAATAAACCATCAATCAAAAATTCTTGTCACAGATACATGAGAAGCATTATGGCATTACTTTGATTAACAGCTTGCTTGGGTTATTTTTCCTTTTAAATCCTTGATTCAAACCTGCTTCTTGAAACAAAACTTCTTAAATCTCATTTTGAAGCCCAGCAAAAAGAAAACCCAACACATTACAAAGAGCACAAAGCTGTCACAGTCATGCCAAGCAATTCAGTCCATTACCATGGGCCTTGACATGAACAATCACCTCACCTGTATATGAATCAAAATCAAACAGCTTTTTAAAGGAAAGACTAGTGGAAAGTTCTGGAGATGTAGCTAGGGCTACCCAAGGAGAGCAGAAATCCTGCCCAGGGAGGCAGGATTGAATAATAGTTTTTGTGTCAACTTCGCAGGTTTTACAGTAGGTTTGAGAGGAGTGGGCAAAATTATTCCAGATTGAGTGTTTTAACTCCTTTCTATACTATAGCATGCATTTTAGATTTACAGGAGATGCAGCTTCTCATGGCAGCAACCAGAATTATTTGGGGATGTACCAAAGGGAGTAACTTCCTTGGCAAATGACCCATGTATGAAAACATGGCATCTCAATTAACTCACTATGCAGAGCATCCAAGCCATACACTCAGGGAGAAAGGTGCTTATTTAGGAGAGGCTTGCAAAATCTTTACCTGACATCTGCCAATCACTCAATCACTATTCACGTCTGGTGTAACAAAATACCACTCCCCCCCCGCCAAGGATTTTCTGTCACCAGTGCATATGGTTGTTCTGCTTTGCAATTTCTGTATTAATCCCCTTTTTTCCAAGAACTGAACTGCAGGAGGAAGCAGGCTCTGAGAATAGGTTGAATTTCTTAGATATGCAGAGGAATTTCATATTGCAGAATGAAGATGATGTTCAAGTAATGGGTTGTGCATCCCATTACTTGAACATCTTCAAGTATGTTGAAGATGAAATTCATAGGTTTAATGGAACCTTTGCCCTCCTATCCCAGATGTGTTTTTCTCACTGAATTTAATCACAGAATCCTTAGGGTTGGATTGGACATCTGGAGATCATCTGGTCCAACCCCCCCTGCCAAGGCAGGTCACCTGGAGCAGGTGACACAGGCACACATCCAGGTGGGGTTGGAATGTCTCCAGAGAGGGAGATTCCATGAACTCCCTGGGCAGCTGTTCAGTGCTCTGCCACCCTGAACAGAAACAAGTTCTTCCTCCTGTTCAGTTGACACTTATGGTGTTTTAGGTTACAGTCATTGCTCCATGTCCTGTCGCTAGGCACCACCAAAAAGAGTCCGGCACCATCCTCTTGGCATCTGCCCGAGAGACATTTATCTGCATTAATGAGATTCCCTCTCGGTCTTCCCTAGACTCAACAGGCCCAGCTCCTGCAGTCTCTCCTCATAACAGATACTCCAGATCCTTGGTTAGGAACATTCCAACATTCTTAAATTACACAGTTTGAACTTCTCTCTTTTAACAGTTTATTCTTACCTGCATCCTCTGAAACAGACCTTGGCTATTCTGAAACAATGTAAGGGATAAACTTGGTCCTGGCTTCTATTTTCATTCAGCAATTACAGAAGAAAACTTTAGGAAGAGCACATTGAAGGCAATGCAGCAAAGAAGTTATGTGCCACTACACCAATATGGCCTCCCTACAGGCCATGTAGGGAGTCCCAAACAGTACTATAATGCATTTTGCACAAAATCTGTGCAAACTGGAGTCCTATTGCCCAGTTACATTTTTTTTACCAGGAATGGTAAATGTAAATTTTTCCAATGACAAAGTAATGAAATATCATGATGCATTACTCATGTTTTAACATTTTTATTTTAGAAAGTGAACATATCCATTTAAAAAAAAGAAAATGCATGGAGTTAAAAAAAGTAAACATAAACTAATGACAAACAGCAATAACATAAAATAATTTTATCTAGTGAGACCCAATAATTATTAAATATACTTCCACCACAGAGAAGTTTTACTTCATTATATTACCAGTCTCTTGATTAGGTACACAAGACAACACTTTCCAGTAATTACCTAGTCATTAGAAGATCAACTTCAGGAATCACTGAATAATAAAATACATTGTGGACAAATACTTTCATACCACCTGGGAGGCAACCTAATATACATATGTCAACAAGGTACAACTTCATGAGGTATTACAGTACATGGGAACCGTTCCCTTTACTTTCTAACGAGTAAACTCTCCTGTCAGCAGCTCTGCCAGCAAGTCAGCCACAGACTCTGTTGCCAGTTTCCAAACCCCCAACAACTTCCTGCAGAGATTTTCTTTCTGCAACAGATCACACAAGTCAGGATGAATGAAGATGGGAGTAAACAAACAGACACTGTAAACAGGTAGGCTGAAAAGAAAAGGGTAGCCACTCTTCCAGGTGAGCACTAGAAGGCTTCAAATCAGAAGTTCCAGCTTCTCAAGAACATTTAATACCTCCCCCAGCCTGAGCTTTGCTGTGAGTGGTGAAGTGAAAGCATGAGGCACAATAATTCCAGAAGTAAATCAAGTCATTTCCAAAATAAGGAAGTAATTTCATATTTAAACAAAGTACACTACAAAAATGTTAAGATGAGGCTGCTCCAGTGTAATCCATTTGTAATATTAAACAAAAGGGGAAATAGCAAATCAGGTTTGCCCATGAAATCTTTAGGCATATTTGTCCTAGATTTAAACCCAAGAAAATCCCTTCCTAGCATTCTTGTGCTTTCATCTCCAAAGAAGTATATCTCTTTGCTGCCAAAAAAGGAGCTTTTACACATCTGGTCCACTACTGTCCTTTCCAGGAGAACCAAAAAATAAATGCAAAGGAGCCCGACTCTGTGCTCTCAAGAGCTTCACAGGATTTCCTTCTTGAAAGCTGCTATGAGAGACAGACTGAGTTTAAAAATTATGAACTCTGAAGAGTTAACATACCAGTTAATTTGTTTGGAAAGGAACTAAGAAGAAAAAGCATATCTTTAGGAATATTCTGGTTCTATGCAAAAGGACTTACCTGCTTTTTCTTATTTGCTATACAATTGGTTTTTCACTGTCTTGTTTTTCTTCAGAGTCTTCATCAGAACCTGAAAAGGAAGACAAGAATGCTGTAGATCAGTTGAGAGAAGCTAAAAGACACAAAAATGTTTAAGTTTTTTGGGGGTTTTTTTTTGACAAATTAGTCTGAATGTCTTTCATTTCTTGGAATAGCATATCAGCTGTGTTTTGAAGCTCAAATTGTACAGAAACTGAATAAATTTACTCCTTCCAGGCTGATTTTCCACCTGCAACCTCCAGAATAGACTTGGTTACCAAGTAACCAATGTCAAAGATGAAGGTCACCCCATATAAAGAAGTGGCTCCAGGGCATGTCCCTGGACAGGTGCAGCTTCAAGAAAGACAAAAAGAGACAAATATGCTGACAATTCCAACAGAGCTCAGTTTATACGTCACCTCCTAAAAGCAAAGATTTGTTTTAAAATATGTTGCCATATCAGCAGAGAGGTTTATTCCCCACTGCACAATCACAGGGGATAGCTTATCTCTGCATATTTGTCAAATCAATATGTATGGCAATGTGACCAAAAACTGCTCTCTTGGAACAATCCATAGTTCGTCTTCTTAGAAAGAAATGCAGATTTTTGAAGAAAAATTTTAATCATGAGCTATTTTTACTCTACATTATCCAGCAGTTTCACTCTGTGACTACCAGTGTGTGTTAGTTCAAATATATTAATCTGACTGTTTCTTTTGTGTCTCATACCCATAAAGGGTGCTTAAAATGTACTTGGCAGTCAGGGCAGACCTGGAGAAAGCACCTGAGCTGTTACTGAATCTCACTAGACAAGTTGAAAGTAAAGGCACACCTACAGTCAATACATGCATGCTGAAACACATCTCACTGCACAGGCAACACTGACCCAGCCACAATGTCTAGAAAAACATGTTGGCTTCACTTGCACTTCCTCTCACACTGTGTATTCTGTTGCTAAAAAAAAACACAACAAAACCCAGCTGAACAGCTGAGTCCAGTACAATACTTCCATTATTCCTCAAAGCAGACCCACAGTTGTAGCTAAAATCCATTTTCACTCTGAATCACTGGTTATACTCGGCACTAATGCTCAGTGACCCCTAGATGGAGCTCGGAGTCATCTTCACTAAGGCAAGATGCTCAGCACAGAGAAAACAGACAGACATTAAAATGAAAAATATCACCAACATGTATAACTCCATACTGCAAGAGAGGCAAACTCACTTGTAGCAATTGCCAGATATTATTTTAATATATAGCATTATACAGCACAGATATTATTTTAATTATATTGCATTATACATAACCTTTGCAGAGGAGGTTTACATTTTAGGGGAAAAAGACTGATAGAGGAGTTGGGGATCACCACTGCATTCTCAGGTAACTCGAATTGATTCAATCTATTAAAAAATTACTTATTTCCTTGAAATGCTTGAGACACATTCTTGGATCTTGCAGGATTTACATTTATTTTTTATTTAATCAGTTCATATCTCAATTAGACAAGGCAAATTATATGCAGAGGTATATCTGATTTACCCAGACAGGTGAACCCTTTTATAGAGAGAAGGCTTTTTTCTTTTTGGTATGAGAAAAGAAAAGAAGCTCTGGTTGAAGTTTCAGTTTGCCTTACAGCAGTTTCAGATTCATTGTCTATCCTAAGACAGTATAAATCTCCAAATTTAGGCTGGATTAAATTGTGCATTGCTGCATAAATGCTATTGCTGGTAGATAAGAGACCACAGAGTCACAGAACATCTCAGGCTGGAAGGAGCCCACAAAGATCACTGATGGCAGAAACAAAACCATAACTGCCTCCTTTCAGTTGTGGTGCCATTTTATTTCAGACTCACCTTGCTTTTAGTCAGAACATGACTTAACTATGACTTATACACTAATCATATGTCTTGTAACTCATCTGGTAGACAGTAACTAAACTGAATTACTGAACAAAAAAGAATCTTGCATTTTAGGATGATAAATACAGTTTTCATTTAAAAACAAAAATATATTTTTCCCCTTCCCTTCTTGAAGGGCATGAAATATGCAGGAGTGTAAAGTGAATATGAAACATGTCACTAAGCCAATGCAAGTACCTGCTACAGACTCAGGGGGAGAATAGAACTGCCCGTCAGAGAGGACTCCTGGGTGAAGAAGAGCTGCTCGTTCTGAAGCATCCTGTGCTATCAAAAATCCTAAAAGAAAAAAAATAGCAGAAAATAATTCCTCAATGCTAACACATAAAATCTTAAAGATCAAATACTGATGAAGAATCTTGAAGACTGATGTATTATATTAGCATTTCTAACTAGTTACTTCTTTAAATAAATACATTTTTGAAAAGCATCAACAATTAATTTAACACTTATGTTTATTATTTAAATGCTGGCAGCTAAGGTGACATATACTAGCAAAACAGATATTGCACACCTGAATTAAGGAATTTTTCCTTCTACTATGTGTGATTACTTGATTATGTTGCCATATGTAAATTCATCAATATTCCCTGGCTAATGAAAACTTCTGAGATGTATTTTTAATGATCAATGAGGTGCCATGCAAAACCAAATAAATTATTTTCTCTCTTTGCCGCTATGACTCTACACTATGGCTTGCTTTCACCTGTCTGTCTCAACATATTCAGTTTCTGAAGCCTTCATGAACTATTTGCATGTGTATGTATCGAATATTTTGTCTGTGAATATTCAATATGAAAAAATGCAAAAGTCTCCAAACTGGTTAGATTTCTTATCTTATTTAGATAACACTGTGATGCAGCTGCATTTCCTCATCCCCTTACAAGATAAAAAAAAGTTACTCTAAGTTTCTTTTTCTCCAGGTAAACCCCACTGTTCTCATTCAACCACCTTCCTTCTCAGACCAGTGAAAAAGAAGAGGAAAGGGATCCAAACAGAAAGACTACACTCAGAGCACATAAAAATGGAGGCATCCATGCTCACATACAGGTTTTTTGATTTACCTAACAGATAAACATGCCCTTCCAACAGAGTTTCAGACTGTACTTCAGATAATGATGCATAAATAACAGGTTGGCTGTATAATTACTCTTCTGCTATTGAAACTCACAAGCATCTGCAAGCTTTCCTCCCCTCACCCCTCAAGCAGTATTCTCTTTCAACTGAAACAGTGGATTTCCTCCATTTAGTTGAATATATTGAGTGTCAGATGACCTAATGCCTCATCTCAAAGGTTGAAATTCACACTTGTTCTCGTCTCATTCTGCCTGTATATGAAACAGACTCTCCACAACACTTCTTTGCTTTCCCCTTTCCACCTCAAAAGAAGAGTTAGTGACATTGAATTAGTTACTGTGTCTACTCTTCCTAAAAGAGGAGCCAGACACTTTATGCATTATCCAGAAAATAAAGTTTTACAAGCCCAACTTAGTTAAATTAATGTGGTGGTCTGACAAGGAAGAAGTGGGAATTCTGGGATACCTCAAGCATACAAAATTAAACACATTCCCAAGTGCTTGACAAAACTGCTCATCTGGCCCTTCTGACTTTTAACTTTGCCTCCCTAAATTAATTAACACCTCACTTCTTTGAAGGCATATGTTCCTCTTTCCAAGAGGAAAAAATCATGACATTTGATTTCATTTTTTCCACAGCCTTTCAAATTTTGAGAAGCTGAAAGAAGTATTCTTCTGCCAGTTAACATGGGATCAAGTGTTCCCAAAGGCAGTGACTGAAGGGAAATAACACAAGCTTACTATTTTCTTCTTCAGCTTCTTGTGGTAACACTTTAAAGTCCAGGAACCAAGTTTCAATCCAGGCAAGTATGAATGATATGATGGGCAGCACATAGCCAAAAGCACCCTGTGAGAACAGCTAGAAAGAAAGAAAACATTACAAAAATTACTCTAAAGAATCTTGCTTTTAAGAAAACAAAGTAAAACAAACATTTGATTAGAATATATACCTGTGAAATAATTACTTTTGCTAATAAAAAGGCACTGGTCACTGCTGTTGTAAACTGAAAGAGACAGAAGAGATAAACTAATGAATGGATTTAGCTTCTTATTTCTGCCATTATGTATTACTTGCAGCTCTAAATATTTACTGATATGCAAGATGACATAGATTAATAAAATATAACAAGCATGATACAATTAACTTAAAGTGTTATCAAAATAACCTTATAAAAGGTAACTTCTAATACCAACACCTCCAAACATTGATTTCCACATAGCATTTTGTAGAATCTAAACTGCCTGAGTATGTAAATTGTGATCTCACTGCATAATGAAGATAATGTAGATTATTCATCAAGTCCCTTAAAAAAACCCAACTATTTATGTATTTGGGAAAAAAGAAAACAGCAGCTGTTCCAAATGTTTTTTACTACCATCCAAATCAAAATATCCACTTAAAACAACAAAACATCTTTGTGGGAATAAATTGGAATAAATATTTTAATTCGTTAAGTGGTATTTCAAATTTTTTTTTGAAGACTTAATACTCCCTGATACATTTTAAAAAATCAGCATGCTGGATAAAATATCTTCAAAACTCCCAAAATCTGAAAACGCAGTGAACAAATACTGTTCACATAAGCAAGGCCTCTATATGTTCTAGTGCATTTGGGTCCAGCAATTCTTTAAAAACCAGCAGAACCAACTTCTGTTTATCACAGGTAGGATGTTAAGATTCAAGGCTTTGGCAAAACCTCCAGTGAAGCTTTATGTATCTAAAATTATGAGAGTGGGTTCACTCTCACCACCTCACAAACACAAGCATCAAGTTGGAGGATTAAGAAATACCCTAAAGCTACCCAGCTAAGAGCAAGGACTTTTTAAGAGGCATGCATTTAAATATAAGCACAATCAGAGCAGCAGCTGCCACGACATATGTGACTGTGCCATGCTAGCTACACAATCTATAAAAATCATGGCATGTAGTCTCAGAGTACTAAGCAAACTGCATGCTACTCACTTGAAGAAAGTTACACACGAACATGCTCTACATGCACCTACCACAGTGTAAGGGGAAAAAAAAGTCTGATTTACAAAGCACTAAGCCAGCAATACACCTATTGTATTACAACCTATAGTACTGACTGGTGGAAGCATGAATTTTTCACCAAATTTTGCATTTTTTGTCATCCACACCATACACCTGCATTAAAGATACTGGCTCCAATCCACTGTGGTTGCCTACAGCTCTTGAGAACTTCCTTTTTAAGAAGGGATGCATATTCAGCCTTTTGTATTGGAGCATGAAGCAATACAGGTGCTAGTGTTCAATGGGTGGCACCTACAACTTCTTAAAGAATGTAGGACTTAATGGACACCTGGATCTCTGGCACAATAATGCCAATTCTTGTTTTCAAAGGAGGTTCACTATTACAAATGCAAATATATTTCCAACATTGATTAACAAGTCTCAGAGGTAACAAGCAGTTATTCATACTGGACTAAAAATAAACCTTCCATTTGTATTAACATGATACCTCATAAAAATCACACCCACTGTTCTATTAAATCCTTGCCTTTAGGCTGAGAATCTTCCAGAAAACAAGTTTTTAATTTGCTACCGTGCAACAAATATAACATCAAGATGATTCTTAACACAAGGGTTAAGAGGCATCTAAAATTTTGTCTGCTTGATTCATTCTAGGAAAAACTCCATGATGCTTGGCCACTACTCACAGCTATTGCCCACCAATGGCGCAGTCTGCACATTGCATATGCAAGTATTAACACCTTAAACCGAAAGACTGCCAGTAGCTACAGAGAGAGGAAAAAATATTGGTTGGTTAATTCAGAACACAGAAGAACCACAACATTCTCAGCTCACCGAAAATACTAACTACTTACAAAGAAACTTAGGACAGTCTAAATTCTGTTACCAAGAAACAAATTCAAATGTGTACTTATAAAACAGAAATAGAAGGTGATTTCCCATTTGTAAAGCAAATGGCAACATCCACCTGCCCAGATAGGCTCTAATGTGCAAGCATGTGCCATTCCACGAATAAATTAGAAACATAAGAAAGCTATACAAAGTGTCTTCATGACGACTTTACCTGACTGGAATCTAAACAGTTATGTTAGCTCAGACTAACAGCTGGCTGCAGTTAATCCAGCAGATACCTTGAGCATCACTGTGCATCTCACTGATCTTAGCAGTGTGCTACTATACTTCTAGTATTTTGTGAAATATTAACATTGTAATAATCAATTATTTTTTATGTGGCTGCCCACAATAGCAAGTCTTTATATTTGGCAGTAGAGAAAGGAAAGTTATGGTATTTGTAGGCCAGAAAATTAAATCAATAGCAGACAGACAAGATCTCTGAACCAGGGACCCTGAGCTTCAATTTCCCTATTTATTTTTTGACAGTAGATTTTCGATTCTGAACACATCTTTTAAAGCAAGTTGGAGACAAAGTGTGAAACAAATACTTAAAAATGAAGAGAAATCAAAGACAGCCAGAGGTATGATAAACCCATTTAATCTTACGCAAATGTGTAGTAGAAACAGAGGAAATCCTGTAAAAACCCACAAACAATTTTGCAGTTCTAGTCCCTTTCCAGGGAATAAAAGTTTATTATTTTGCATTACATATTCTTAACCCTTGGTTCATCTACAGGATAAAGGAATTTCAATGGTTACAGATAACATTTTTTGCCTTCTGCAGCATGGTGTATCATGGAGTCCTGCCAGCCAAACAATGGAAAAGGGAGAAGGAGCATAGTTTGCTAGCTTATAAAATTTTTCAGTCTAGTATGTAAATTCATTTGGTACAGCAAATGCCCAATGCAGAAGTAAGGATGGGGTTTTACACCAGTTTCAAAGAGAGATTCTGAATATGGTCATCAGTAAAAATGACTGATACCAAACCAAGTCACCTCTGCAAGGCAAAGAAGATCTGGTAGAATTAACAATCTTGCCCTTTAGAAGAACTGTAAAGAAAAAACTTTTACTTGAGTTGTGCAGCTACAGACTTGCTTAAAGAAAGAAATTTCCTAATGCAATAGATTTCCTCTTATGTGTCTAAGGTACTTATAGATAGTAAGAGAGCATCATCGTGTCATCTCTTCTTGCTGTTTGAGTTAAAACACAGAACTCTGAAAAACCTGCCCTGTGCAGGCCACCCTGGGCACAAATCTCTCCTCCCTGCAGCCACCTTATGCCCAATGAAGGACAAAAATGTCAGTTTAAGCAAAATGATTTTGGAGTGCAGGGCTGTGGGTCTTGTCCTCTTAATAAACTACCTTATGTCACATCAAAGTCACATTCTTGACCGGGTTTTCCATCTGCTTTTCCGCACACCCCAAAGCTAAAGATGCACATAGACTGGCCCTAAGCATTTCTATCTACAGGCTCCATAAGCCTGCTGCCAGAGCAGGATTGGGCAACCCCTAGATGGGTGAAACTTGGCCCTTCTGGTTTAAATTATCAAGAAAAGATCAACCCTTGCACAAGACTCAAACTAGGAAACATCTGTGGAAGGAGGAATGGGAAAACTATACTTTTACTGCTCCTTTTTCTTTTTTTAGGAACACTTACAAATATATCAAAATATGAAGAAGAGTAGTCATAATGTAGAACTTCTTTCTCTAAGGTAGTCTCAATGCCTCCTTTTACCTACAAAGGAACAACAACACACACAGCTTCAGAAAACAAAATACAGAGAAATATGAAGAGTAAAACTAATAATTCCCTGCTGATATACAAAAAGATCATTAAACTAAATACAGAAGAGCTGTCTGCCAAGAATGATAAGGTCAAGACTATTGTTGCTTTTTGTTTTTCATTACATAGGCTTTTTGAAGTGAAAACATTTAGGATTATGATCTGGCCTAGGCAAGCAACATTTCAGGCTGACCCAAAATAAAAGCAAACAAGCTATTGAGGGAGGAATAAATTATTAAATGTTAAGGACTGTTACACAAACTCACAAAGTGTTTTACCTCTTATAAGGAGCATCAAAACAGCTGATCAAAAAGCCAACCATAACCTAGTTTCTAGTCAGTCACATGTTTCACATAGGAAACAGAACAGAAACTGAATTTATACTTCAGATCTCTTCCTTATCAGCCCTCACACAATTTTTTAAGAGAGCTGAGCCAAAAGATCCACAGTAAAAAAAGCAGAAGCTGTAACTATTAGAATAGTCTCACACAAATAACTAAGATTCAAGTTTAATTCTTCCATTTGCTGATGAGATTCAAAATTACATCTTCCTTAGCCACCATTTTTCCTTCCAGTAGAAGGATTCTACTGTTCAAACTGGCCTTGTAAGAAAGTAATTTAAGGTGTATTGGCTCAGAGAATGAGAGGGAGTATCTATCTTAGTTGAAAATTAAAAGCCTTAGTGTCCATCTCCAACTGTTTTTAATATGAAATTCCGTAATTAAGCACTGCATGAAATAGTTATGCAAAACACCAACAGAAGGCTTTAAAACTGAGTTCGACTACTGTCATATTTTTAAGGAAAGGAGCTACCAAAGCCCACCAACAACATATGCTCGCTATCTCAAAGCAATGAAGTCTACACACTTCCACACTTTTCCAACTACACTGCAGGACAGTGTTTTCCTGAGACTAGTCACACCAACTCTGAATTTCTTCTATTTCTTCTCCTCTTCCTCCCCTCTATGGCTACCTAACAAATAGCCACTTTCGAACTAGTTTTCCCTTGGTTGCTCTGCTGTATCATGTGTGATTATCTGTTTCCAGCAGAAACAAGGAAGATCAACTTCCCTCACTCCAAGCTGTTCATCACTATGTGGCTGTGTGAGAACCATATTAAAATAAGGATAAACAGAAGACCACGGAAGCCTTGATTTTTGCTCAAAATGCCATGGAGCTACTCCCCGAAGCATTTAACAATAAGCTACACTACACCCAAGGAAACTGGATAACAGCAACAAAGTGAAAACAATGATTACAGGAAGTCTCATAGCAATTCTGCACCAATAACACAGGGTCCTAACACAATGCTATTTGACTTCTCACAAACAAAGCATTTCAAAGAAAAACAGAACAAAAAACCTAAGCACGTGCCAGATCCCAGATATCAGATTTTAGCTTCTAATCTCATTGACTTCGAATGACAAAACCTGTTTTTTATTCTTGCTGACATGTGGCAGTATAGGACACTGGTTCATAATATGTTGTCCTGAAAATACAGCCTTTTACAAAGAAAACTGCTGTGATCTTGAGGTCCCTTGATACTGTGGCATTCAAAATGAAACACCATGATATCATGAGTTGGTAGCATTTTCTATTCAGAATCTTCAATATTCTGAGAGCACTCATGTGCAAATCTGTACTCTAAAACCTCAACAAGAGATATAAACCCACTCTATTCCTTTTAGTCGTACAAGCTGTTGAGAAAGTGGCCTAAAAAAAGAACTGCATCAGAACACTATGCTACAACCACTTTTCCACCTAGAGAGAAACAGAAAGTCTAGTCTCAAAATTACATCATTTGGGCAAGCAAAATTTTCTTTCTCAAATGAAATCAGAACGAGTATTTTTCACTGTATCAATGAGCTATTGAACGGTCAGCTCCTGAAGCTTCATAATGTAAAACAATAACCAAGGTTATTCATCTAGTAAAGAAATGCTGATAAAAAATATTTACTCCAGATTTTTCTTTCTATAAAAGGGATTCCTCCCTACTGTATTCTTTCTTATATGCAAAATAGATTACACGTGAAAACCCAGCTCAAGAACTAGGATGCTACTTATGAAGTAACAACAAATGAGCTATCATGTTGCTTACTGGAAATTTTAGATCAGATTACAAATGCTGGAGTTAAAAGGTGGCAACTGTGGGAGTTTATGTTATTTAAATGCACCCTGCCATCCATACTGTGTAATACACCAAGTTTACATCAAAGAAAATACAACAAAAGAAAGGTTTTGGCCATTAGAAGTCCTTTCAGGACTAACACCTCAGTGAAATATCACTGACTTAAAGTTACTCAGAAGGCAGAGTCTTGAATCCTGTTAAAATTCACACTGCTTGCTAAATTCAAAGACGTAGAGTAACATTTTTGGTTTTAATGGTGGAAGACTACACTGGATTTCTAATGTTTTTTTCAGCATGGTTCACAGACTACAGGAACATCTAAAGGTTTCATAATAAGGAGATAAACATATATCTAAATGAATAAAAGTAGATGCAGTTGAGTAGGTTACTGTGCTCATGGAAGCTTAAATAAGCTGCTTAAAATTAAACAGATACAAATAACATAATTTTGGCTAGAAAGGAGCAACTTATCAACCATCTCTGAAGTGAATAAAACCTTAATATATCGTCTAAGGGTAGGTACTGAAAAGACAACTCACATTCAATTCTATTATCCACAGTAAGGTTATGAATAAGAGATCAAATGTAACAAACAAACAGAAAGTCCTTCTGACATCTGAGATGCCTTTCTTCTCCCTGCCTTCATACGACTCAATCCTTGCCATCAGCTGTGTGGGGTTGATGGAGTGGACATCCCGCAAGGAAGGACAAGATTCCACACTGCTACTGTGAGCATTTTCTGCATCAGCTGGGACCCGAATCATCCTGGGTTTGCTTAGAGTGGTCTTCTCCCAGTTTCACCATCACTAGAAGGCTGATCCATACAGGAAGGATTTCTAAACAAACAAACAAAACCAAACCACATTAGTCAATAAAATCCCATAATTCCAAGAGCTATTTGCATCTTACAATGTCAGTTCTCTTTTTGCTAAACGGATGACTAAGAGAATTAGGCAAGTAGGCCCTTGAAATTGTTTCTAACACAGTATCAAGCTGCTCTTCATCTCTCAGAGGATTTGTGAAGCAAGAGAATTAATGTTCAATTAGGTCGTATGAAGTAAGGGAGCACTGTCTAGATTTAAAGGGTCATTTCTCCATGCTGCCAGAGTGAGATCATTGAGTAGAATGAATAAAAGCATGATGCTGTGCATCCTTTAAGATTTTCAATACTGACTTAAATGCTCTCAATAAATAGGAAGACAACTTAAAGGAATTTCCACATACAATTCCTTAAAAATAGCAGTGTTAGTTAATAGCACATCCAGAGCTGACACAAACAAAAGATGAAAAGTCCATTAAAATCCCTGAATAGTGTAATAATCATTCTATAAAGCATATACACTGCTATTTGCTCTGTAAATTCAGCTGCTATAGCAACTTATATTGCCAGACAATTTCTCCATGAAAAAAGTATGTGTAACTAGTGGTTAAAGGTAATGCAATTACCCTAAGTCTCTTCTGACTACAAGGCTTTTGAAAGAATTTTCAGGCTGAATTTCCTATAAAACTGAGGCAGTTTGATGCATGATTCACTTAAATCCTCCATGAGAACATTTGTCCAATTAAGGCTTCTAGAAATGGCGGACTCAGAAGGTCACAAAAGTTTCATGGAAGCACACAGAAAATTTAATTTCATGTAAAATGCTCAGATAATTAAGCTATACATCCTGCAGCACAAACCACATCAGACAAGTTTTTGTAACACTGGGGGAACAGCTTTTTGAAATTCAAGAACAAAACTTTGCCTCCTCCTGCGTGGATTATCTCTAAGTTAATGGCAAGAGATAGAGAAATTCTTCCCACTCCTGTCTTTCAACAGTGTTTCAACTCCAAAGCTGCAAGAACACAGTCAGCCAGAGCTCAACAGGGTGTCTGTAACACACCACTAGGCAAACACAAGGGAGGATACAAGGACACAGGGGAACAGTGAAGGTGCTGTGGGGAGCTGCCAGAGCACACACATCACAGCTGAGGAAGACAAAGCCAGCCAGGGAGGGTCAATGTCTAGGTCAAGTCACACAGAACAGCCTTTAGGGAATTCAAAGCACCAGGCAAGGGTGGACAAGCACAATGCACCTTTTTATCTTCCTCCTTTATTTCTAGAGCAGCTGCCTGAAACATGGCTGGCAAAGGGCTGTAGGGGAGGGAGACATAAGTGGTGTGTGCTTGGTCAGGTGCCTTGAGCACTGCACTGAACTTTGGGCACCTGAACCCGAGGGTGTGAGCAGGATCACAGCACTCCAATGCTGTAAACAGCACTTGCTTTGTACTGAAAACCCTCACACTAAAGTGCCCTGCTATGTAACAGCAGCCCATAGGAAAATGTTTGGGATGAGATCTAAACCTCACATCAGGCCATCAATGGCTATATTTAAAAATAAAAAGATAAGTAACACCTGAACCTCCAAAAAATCCCATCTATATTGGCTAAAATATTTATTTTATTTTGATGTGGAACTCAGTGCCAAATATATAGGAAGTTGTTACTTCCAGGCTGGATTATTGCTAGATACAGCACAGGATGGCAATGCAATTAGTACAGCCAGAGTGAATTGCTTCAGAATGTGCTAGTTCAGCACCCATTTGCCTTGTGGGGCCATTCGCAAAGAGAAAAGCGTGGTTTTAAAATGTGTTTGCTACCAGTTTGTTTTGAAGCATGACTCAAAACATCAGATTCAGCTTATAAATCCCATGTACTCTTAAATCCTTACTACTGATAGACTTTTTTCCCTCAAAGCCCTATAGATAGGGGGATACTCACAGCAAGAGAATTTGTCCCTGGTCTTGCTCTGCCTGCTGATCCATCAGATCCATGTCTGGACACATGGCAGGGCCTCTCTTGTCACACTAAGCTGGCATGAAAATGTTGTGATTCTTTAACTGAACAGACATAGCTTGGCAGCTTTTTGCACTCATTGCAACAGCTCTGCAAACTGATTAATCACCAAGTATGTGCTAAAGATTGTTTCCCATAGTTTCTCTCATTAATTAAAATAAAAAATTCCTTTGTACCTGAATGACATAATCAGTCATTTCATCACACCAACATTCTAAGACGGTTTCAGGTGTGTGCAGGAAAAAAAAATTCTTAAATTCTTCTTGGCAGCTGTCTTACAGGCATGTGAGGGCTATTAAAAAGCAGCACTTCCCTTTTAGTGTTGGATGGTGACTTGGCCTGACACTTTCCTTCCCATCTCAGCACTAACAGCAACAACTCTCCTCCCTTGCACTTCCAAAGCACCAATCATGCCCCATCTCTCTCACCCATCACAAATTTGCAGTGGGAGCGAGTCCTGCTCTTCCCTTGGCTCCATTTCTCCAGGGGTTCTTGCTTGTGCAAAACAGCCTGTGCTTGGAAGGGTTCCAGGCTTGCAGCCCCATGAGGAGCTGCCTCTTTTCAGCACTCCTTGTGAGCAACACAAGCACCAGGCAGGCACAGGAGTGCTTTTCGTGCATCCCTGGCCAAGAAACTCAGTGGTGGAACAAGTTCAGGAAGGCAAAAAAGGTGTGTTTGTCATTGAGATGTGTCACACGTTTGAAAAAAACCACACAATTCTTTTGCATGTGACTATTACTGATCCTTATTCTTGTTATTCAGGAAGCAGGCAGTGCTTGGCCTGAATTCATGCTGCCACATTACTTGAGTATTTGCATCCAAAGTGATACATGACATTGTTGTTGTTCTATTGTCATGGTTATTGTGCTTTTTAAAAACCAAAATAATTTTAAAACAGAGAAAAAAAATTATAAACTGGGTGAGGATGTCTGGGGTTTGGTTTTTTAAAAGCCAAAATGCAAATTCAGCCAGAAAAAAAAATTATTATTAAATAAAGAGTGAAAATCACATTCTTAAAACTTCTGAGTTGATTTTTCTTAGAAAGAGCCTTCTTTGTGTGTCAGTCAGTTATCTACTTTCCTGTGTCTGGTAAAGGTTAATATTTTAGATAATTTTTAGGGTGTTTTTACAATATCAGTAACATATTTTCAAGACAGCTTGACATCTGGGTGTCTGGGTCTCTGATTTGAAGGAAACTGGGTTTACCTGGCACCACTTCTTTTGGCTCCAGGCAGTTCCATTGCTTGGGTAAGTCTATATGGTAGGGTTCAGGAAGGATGTGTGGTCAAAACAAACACATCCTATGAAGAAGTGATGTTTAGAGACCAGCACATTAATTTTCTGCAGAGCCTAGGTGAAAGACACTCACCAGGAAGATAAACAGCCCATAATTCAGAATATTCCAAGAAACTCTATGGGCAAACTTGCCTGGAGAGGTGGAGATCATAGCAACTGTGTTGGACACAAACTGTGCCATTAACTCCTTGCCATAAGAAACAAGAGAGTGAGACAGAAATGTCTTCTCCCCACACAGTCCCACCATCAAATGGCTCTCCACAAGATGTAGGGGATTTGCAATGTTCTGTAGGTTTCCTTTGCCAGACTTCAAGTGATGGTTTTCAAGCTAAACTGAAGATTGCATGAACCTGCTTCTAGCTACACCTGCACATTGTGATAATGCTTGTGAACATCTGTTCTGAAAGAGTCAGAAAAATAAAATCCTGTTTCCAGTATATCTCTTATGTTACATGTTTTTAAAAGTGTTTTCAAAGCTAAAAACATCCTTGGCATTTCAGGCAAATAACAGTCTGGTTGTTATTTGCCTCATCATGAGGGCAGAACAGAATAGAGTATTCAGTGGAAAGGGACAGAAAACCTTATCCAACTGCCAGACCACTTCAGGGCTGACCAGAAGTTTAAGTATGGCATTAGGGACAATGCCCAAATGCCTCTTGAACAGGCTTGGGGCATCAACCCCTTCTCAAAGAAAACTCTTCCATGGTTCAATCACACTTGGTAAAGAAACATTTCCTCCTGTCAGTCTGAACCTGCCATGATGGATGCAGCTTTCAGCCATTCTCACACGCCCTGGTACTGGGCACTACTGAGAAGAGATCAGCAACTTTCTTCTGCACTTCACCACCTCAGAAAGCAGCCAAGAACAGTGTGGCTACCCCTCAGCCTCCTTCTCTCCAAACTAGGTTAACCCTGTGACTTCAGATGCTTTTCACAGGGCATTACTTCTAGCTCTTCAACCAGCTTCAGTGTCCTCCTTTTGCACACATTTAAGGACCTTCACATCCCTTTTAAATTTTGGGGCCCAGAAATGCATAAAGTACTAAAAATGAAGTTGCAGCAGTGCTAAATAGAGTGGGATGATCACTCCTTTTGACCAGCTGGTTGTGGTGCATTTGATGGTTTGCCACTGCTGACTTTGAGCCTGCTGTCTGTCAGCCAGCATCCCCAGACCCATTTCTGTGGTGCTGCTCCCCAGCCACTCTTGAAATTTGTACTTGTGGAAGGTATGCTCTATCCCAGGTGCAGAGTCTGGCATTTGTTCTTGTTCAGTTTCATGCTACTGATGATTGTTCAGCACTCCAATCCATCCACCCACATCCCTCTGCAGGGCCTCTTGTCCCTTGAGAGTGTCAACAGCACCTCCCACTTGAGCACCATCAGCAAACTTGCTGACAGTGCATTTGACTCCTGCCTCCAGATCACTGATAAAAACTGTGAACAGAACAGGGAGAGAGCCCAGAGGAGCCCCACTCTCTACAACCCTTTGAGCCCTGCCCTTCAGCCAGCTCTTCCAGCAACCATCTACCTGCTCACTTCACAGACTTGTCCAGAAGGATGTTGGGAGGTACAGTATCAAACACCTTAACAAAACCCAAGAAAACTATATTCACCACCTTTCCTTCATCTACTAGGCAAGTGAAATGACAGAATCTACAAGCTTACTGAAGTGTAAAACCATTTAAGAAGGAAATAAAACTTCTG